ATTGTGGAAGTTCAGAGTGGGAAATGGAAAAAAAGGATAAAAAGGAATCGTGAACAAAAAATAAAATACCTCAGACATGATGGATGGCATATTTTCTGAATCATGTGAGTTTATATCTCTTGTAAATGTACAGCTTTGCTAGTGTAGCTGACAATGGGGATTTTGATCATTCAATATTCAGAATCTCACTAAGCAGTTTGAATGAACAATATTCCTTGGTAAAGAAATCCAAAAGTTAATATGTGATGATCACAAAGCAGCATAAAAATTGATCTACATGGTACAGTATAAATGAACTCTCACAATGACTACCTAAAAAGGCTTAGCAGGTGAGGTCTTGGACTGGCACCAGAACCACATTCATGGAGCACTGGTTTCTGTCAGGGACAAAGGAAGTTTCTGAAGTCCAAACAAGCCGATTCTCAGCCAGCAACATTGTGGGGTGTGTTATGAGCCCAAATGAGTCTGTCTGAATTCAGGGAATCCAGTGCCTACACCTTCATTTGCCAGACTCCTCCTGATGAACTGGTTTCCTCACTACACACCACTAGTGTCAGCTTTTTGGAGCAGAATGAAGGGAGCAAGGCTTAATCTATTGTTAGTCAGACAAATTAGGGTCTTTACACAAATCTGAGCTTGCTTTAGCAGCATGTTTGTGTGTCAGTTTTTCTTACTCACTCTCAGATGTCCTCAGCCTCCATTGTCTCACTCCCAGCCTATCAGCCTATGTGCACAGCCCAGTACTTGGGCAGGTGACATGAAGGAAAGGGAGCACTTGAACATGAATGCTTTTAAATTAATAATGTGATACTGACGTTTAACAAATGCTGTTCTTGATTTATTGTAGTGTTTGCTTCATTTCCGCCATGGCAGACACAGAACAGGGAAATCAAACCTCCCTCACAGAATTCATCCTCCTGGGATTTGGGACTGTCCCCAAACTGCAGATCCTTCTCTTTCTTCTGTTCCTTGTGATTTACATTGTGACCATGGCCGGGAACATCCTCATTGTTGTGCTAGTTGTGGCTGATCAGCACCTTCACACCCCAATGTACTTCTTCCTGGGGAACTTGTCCTGCTTGGAGACCTGCTATACCTCCACCATCCTGCCCAGGATGCTGGCGAGTTTCCTGACTGGGGACAGAACCATTTCTATTGGTAGCTGCATCACACAATTTTACTTTGTTGGTTTCCTTGCAGCCACGGAGTGTTATCTCCTAGCAGCGATGTCTTATGATCGATATCTAGCGATATGCAAACCACTGCATTATGCAATCCTTATGAATGGCAGTTTCTGCCTCCAGCTAGCAGCTGGGTCTTGGATAAATGGATTTCTAGCTATTATCATAGTAGTTTCTCTTATGTTACAATTAACTTTCTGTGGCGCCAATGAAATTGATCATTTCTTCTGTGAATCTACACAAATAATAAATCTCTACTGCAATGACATCTACCAGGTGAAGCTTGTAATCACCATTGCGGCTGCTTTATTTACCCTGCCTCCATTTGCTTTAACTGGGACATCCTACATTTATATCATCTCCACCATCCTGCGAATCCCTTCCACCACGGGGAGGCAAAAGGCATTTTCTACTTGCTCCTCTCACCTCATTGTGGTGACAATTTTCTATGGGACTCTGATCATTGTGTATCTGCTACCAAAAACCAACACACTCAGAGACCTCAACAAAGTGTTCTCTGTCTTCTACACAATTCTGACGCCTATGGCCAATCCCTTCATATACAGCCTGAGAAACAAAGAGGTGAAAGAGGCTCTGAGAAAAATGGTCAGTAAATGTGTAGATTTTATAAGAATTCAGAAATGCTACTGTATTTTTTGAAAGAGAAAATAATGATGAGTGCAGCTGATTTACACTTTAAAGCTCAGAGGCGGCGTAGCCCTTACTTCATTCTAGGTCTTTGGTAGTGTGAACTTGTAACGCTTGAGGATGTGCAAAGATTTGAAACCGTAAGATCAATCAGAACCAGGATCTTTGTGTTCAAAATAAAATTGAACTTTATTTTCCTTGTTGATTGTGAGTAGATATTTTGGTGAATTCCATAGACTAAAACAAAGTAAGAATGTAAAATAGTGACTTAGGGCTGGATCCACAAAGGGACTTAGGCATTGCAAGGCCTGACTTCTAGTGCCTTGCTAGCCAGTGGAATCCACACCCTGGCTTGTGGGATCAGGGCTCATGTCTACATTGAAATAAAAAGGCCCACGGCAAGACTGTTGCTGGCCCAGTTCATCTGACTTGGACTCGTGGTGCTTGGGCCGAAGGGCTAAAAATGGCGGTGTAGACATTTGGGCTCAGGCTGGAGCCTGGGCTCTGAAACCCTGTGATGCGGGTGGGTTTCAGAGCCCCGGCTGCAGTCAAAGCCCAGACATCTACATGGTTATATTTAGCCCCTCAGCCCAAGCCCTGTGAGCTTGAATCAAATGATCCAGGCTCTGAGACTCGGTGCCATGGGATTTTTATTGCAGTGTAGATGAACTAATACAATTTAAGGCCAGAAAGGATGGCCAGATCATCGAGTCCAACTCCCTGTATAGCACAGGGCACCGACACCCCCCAGCACCCACACACTAAACCCAACAACCAAAAGAAGACCAAAGTATCACAGCCCTCAGGAGACGAGACTAGGATGTGCCACAGGCAGAGAACAGGAGAGACCGAGGGGCACCAGTGCCTGAGGCCCCCACAATGGCAGGGAGATGATTAAGTGAGATACACCCAGATAATCCTGGCAAATGACCCATACCCCCCACCCTGCAAAAGAAAGTGACCCCCTCCCCCCAAGATCACTGCCAGTCTCACCAGTGGAAAATTCTTCCCAATCCCACATGTGGTGATCAGTAAGACGCTGGTCATGTGAGCAAGAATCAGCCAGCCCACAACCTGGGAGAGAATGCCTGGTGCCCCCTTAGAGCGCTGAACCTCTCCGCCAATGTCCTATCTCCAGCCGTGGCCATCCCTGATGCTTCAGAGGAAGAAGAGAAAAATAATACATCAGGGTACAAAAAAAATCCCTTCCTGACCCCTGCACGTGGCCAGCTGAAATCCTGAAACGTGAACTTTGTGGAACATAAGACATAAACTAGAAGTTAACCTCAGGACTCCAGATTCCTGTCCCCCCGCACCACAAGCACTTCTATTCCTGCTTCTGAGTGTTGAGCTTTAGAATCTCCTAGTGGCACATGAGATAACCCTTTCCCCCCATTGCTGTCTGGCAGAGCAAGATGTTTGACTCCATCATAAGTTGTCTCCATAATGGCAGCATCCTTTTTGATCTGGCCTAGGAATAGTGTCATTGACTGCTCAGGTCTCATTTTCACTTTTGTTCTGATTATATTATATTATATTATATTATTGTAGCGGGATGGCTACCCCGCTCCTGCCTGAGGGATTTAAAACAGCCCTGGCAGAGGGCTGGGGCAAAGGGAAAAGCTACTGGGCTGATTGTGGAAGTAGCCACAGCTGGGCCATGCCCCAATCAGGTCCCAGCTGGCCTGTATAAGAAGGCTGGGAGCCAGGCGCTCAGGAGTCTCTCTCTCTCCCCAGAGAGAGACGGGCCTGGCTGCAGGGAGTGAGACACAGAGTACCTGAGTGGAGCAGGGCTGGGGAAAGGCTGAGGAGCTGGGGAGCTCTAGCCTGGATAGCCCCAGGCTGCGGCCTGGTAATAGGCCAAGAGGTACTCGGGGTAGCAGAGGGCAATCCAGGGCTAGGCCAAGGCAGCAGGTCCAAACCCTCCTTGCCAGTGATGAGTGGCCTATACTGCAGTCTGCCCCAGGGAGCGGGGGCTAGTTGGTTACTGGCAGTCGCCTAGTGCTGAGGCAAGGTGGAGTTAGTGGGTGGGGGTTCCCCTGGGAGGGGAGACCTAGCGTGTGTGGGTACTGCCAGGGGGCAGCACCCAGGGCAAGGGGCACCATGGTCCTGGGAGGGACACAGGAGCCTGAGGAAGAGGACAGGCGGATCACTGACCTGCAGAGGGCGCTCCAGAGGTGGGTGAGCTAATTCCCTGGATGACCAGCCGGAGGTGCCGCAGGGGTGAGTCCGGATATTCTTACAATTATTTTATATAGCAGCCAAAACTTTTCAACTTTTATATACTATAATATAATTAATATAATAAATTAATAGTCATTACAATAAAGTCAAAACTAAACATTTCAATAATTCCCCCTCAACAATTTCAAGTAAATCAATACATTCCCACGAAACACTTCAGTTACATTGAATCAGGATTTTTAAATGGAAAGCTGTTCCACTGGAGAAATTTCAACCAGGTCTAATGGTTATGATTGTCTACACTGCCCCTTACTATCGGCTGTGCCTTAACGACACCATCCAATGCTATAGTCGGAAGGCAGAACTGTCCATTATCTGAAAATCTTTCCATAAGGATAACAAAGGGGAAGCCCTCTCAGGAAACTCAGAAGGATCTGTGTGTGTTTGGGTGAGAGTATGTAGTTCAGAAGATCCATTTTTGTTTTTTCTCTCTCTGCTACAGCAACTCTGCTGCAAGTTTTTACAGATCCAATAATTCAGAGATTCATAGATTTTAAGACAAGAAGGGGCCATTTGATCATAGAGTCTGACCTGTGCAACTAGATTTGGGAGGATTTGATTTTTATCAATAAATATCAGTAAACATCAATTTTGCCACACAAATACAAACTGAGAAAAAAATTTTAATTGATGATAATTATAGATAGGCAAAGTAAGAAAAATGCTGCTTAAAATTTTTTAGAGTCAAAATCCAGTGATTGAGACTTGTGAATTAGGCTCATTACAAGAAACAAATTGTAAAAACAGGTATGATTTGTTGATTTAAGGATATTCATTATATATTTTGACATGGGATGTTGACAATTTGTGTTTTAATGGTTTATAAACTTTAGCTCTATGAACCTCAATGTCTATTGTCATTAAATACTTCCCCACATAATTTCACACAACCATGAAAATTTAAATCAATAAAAACCTAAAAAAAGCATTGATATTATCCATCAAAATTATTTAGAAAAATGAATTTTGCCAACCCTATGCACAGCACAGGCCAGAGATTCTCACCCCATGATTCCTGCATTAAGCATAACGCTTCTAGTTGTATCTTCTAGGAATAAATGTCCAGTCTTGACTTAAAGACTCCAAGTGATGGAGAATTGTTCCCATGGTTACCTACTCCCATGGCTCAAGATTTTTCCCGATGCACTGTTCTTTCACCCAATATTTTCATAAGTATTTTATTGTCTAAATTTCGGGAAGCTCATCCTTTCTTCGGTGGAGGTTGATGGGTGTACAAATAAAATAAAATGAAGTAAAATAAAATAAAATATTCAATTGCAAGTTTTCCACTTTTGCACATTTGATTTCATTCATATTTATTTCCTCCCATAATGGGGACCAAGACATAGCTCATATTAATTATTAGTATTAAAGGTGGAATAGAAATAAAATTGGGTTTGAATCCTTTCTCTCTCTGTGTGTGTATGTGTGTGTCAGTAAAGATGGGGAAGATGTTGAAGGGGGATGTGTTATATACAGAAACCCTGAAAGATTTATTGTTGTTGCTTTCCCTTTGAGAAGGTTTAGTTTATTAATATATACTTTAGAAATTTGATATCAAGGTGTAAAGGCAAATCTTTCTTTTTTTGTTAGAGATATCCCTTACTGGATCCAGAGATGTTGTGGAAGCATTTTCTCCGACAATGTGCAATGTGAGCTTTCTCAACCCTTATTTGAAAGTTTTTGAATATTTAACAGCGAGAGCTTTTCTCCAGTGTGCTTGGGCATTTGAGCTAAAACTAAGAGTCACGATTATAGGGCCAGCTGCACAGTTATCCACTTTCCAGTTTTTTTTGAGAGCACCCTTGCAGGTGATAGGTCTGTTTGCTTTACTTTCCTGGGGGTGAAATTTCCCAGTTTTTCCATTTTTATATGAGAACCTGGGAATACAACTCCACACTTTTGGGTTTTGGGCACCTGTGTTTTGTCCCTTCTGAAATCTGTAACCAGTGATATAGTGACCAAATGCTTACTTTTATTTAACAGTTGGACCAAAGCATTAGGATAAAAGGATTTAAAAACAGCAAACTGTCTACATACATAGTTAGTTTTCCATTTTTCTTAGAAAGCTCACAATAGAGATTTGTGAGGTTGCAATCATAACAGAAAAGAATTTTGATTAGCAAAAGGGGCACATTGACTTGAAGACTATTTCAAACATTTTTTCTGCTTTTGCCATTGCTGAGTGTGACCATATGGGTCTGTTCTATTCTATTTTTTCTATTCCAATTAGAATAGGTGGGTCCATTCTAGTCTATTAACTAGAACAGAAAGGTCTATTCCAGAACAGATTATATTCTATTCTAACCTAGAACACATGGATCTATTCAATCACAATCCCATGTCATTGTTTATCATTTAGAAGAGAAAGTGAATCTCCCTAGGCACCTCTGATGATTGGCATTGTAAATCAATGAGAGGGGAATGTTAATAGCATATTTATTTTTAGACCATATGAACAATGGTGTTAAATAGAGTCAAACTTCTAACACCCTCTCCTGCCCCCCCAAATGGCCAAAATAAAAAAATATTTTAATTTGGAAATGCTACCATGGATGCCTCAGGGGAGCTGTAGTTTAGTTGCCTTATGACCCCATTCCTCTCTAAGTTTTGGGCTCCAGAGCTGGACTACAGCTGCCATGCTGCATCAACTCCTCTCAACACGAGAGACTGTGGTGTGTCATGGGAGATGTAGTCTGTCCAGAGAGTGTAAC